TCATGCCCACCCACTGCTCATGCACACCCACTGCTCATGCCACCCACTGCTCATGCCACCCACTGCTCATGCCCACCCACTGCTCATGCCCACCCACTGCTCATGCCCACCCACTGCTCATGCCCACCCACTGCTCATGCACACCCACTGCTCATGCCCACCCACTGCTCATGCCACCCACTGCTCATGCCCACCCACTGCTCATGCCCACCCACTGCTCATGCCCACCCACTGCTCATGCCCACCCACTGCTCATGCCCACCCACTGCTCATGCACACCCACTGCTCATGCACACCCACTGCTCATGCCCACCCACTGCTCATGCACACCCACTGCTCATGCCCACCCACTGCTCATGCACACCCACTGCTCATGCCCACCCACTGCTCATGCCCACCCACTGCTCATGCCCACCCACTGCTCATGCCCACCCACTGCTCATGCCCACCCACTGCTCATGCCCACCCACTGCTCATGCACACCCACTGCTCATGCACACCCACTGCTCATGCACACCCACTGCTCATGCCCACCCACTGCTCATGCCCACCCACTGCTCATGCCCACCCACTGCTCATGCCACCCACTGCTCATGCCCCCCACTGCTCATGCCCACCCACTGCTCATGCCACCCACTGCTCATGCCCACCCACTGCTCATGCCACACCCACTGCTCATGCCCACCCACTGCTCATGCACACCCACTGCTCATGCCCACCCACTGCTCATGCCCACCCACTGCTCATGCCCACCCACTGCTCATGCACCCACTGCATGCCCCACCACTGCTCATGCCCACCCACTGCTCATGCACCCACTGCTCATGCCCACCCACTGCTCATGCCCACCCACTGCTCATGCACACCCACTGCTCATGCCCACCCACTGCTCATGCCCACCCACTGCTCATGCCCACCCACTGCTCATGCCCACCTGCTCATGACACCCACTGCTCATGCACACCCACTGCTCATGCACACCCACTGCTCATGCACACCCACTGCTCATGCCCACCCACTGCTCATGCCCACCCACTGCTCATGCCCACCCACTGCTCATGCCCACCCACTGCTCATGCCCACCCACTGCTCATGCCCACCCACTGCTCATGCCACCCACTGCTCATGCCCACCCACTGCTCATGCACACCCACTGCTCATGCCCACCCACTGCTCATGCCCACCCACTGCTCATGCCCACCACTGCTCATGCCCACCCACTGCTCATGCCACCCACTGCTCATGCCCACCCACTGCTCATGCACACCCACTGCTCATGCACACCCACTGCTCATGCACACCCACTGCTCATGCACACCCACTGCTCATGCACCACCACTGCTCATGCCCACCCACTGCTCATGCCCACCCACTGCTCATGCCCACCCACTGCTCATGCCCACCCACTGCTCATGCCACCCACTGCTCATGCCCACCCACTGCTCATGCCCACCCACTGCTCATGCCACCCACTGCTCATGCCACCCACTGCTCATGCCCACCCACTGCTCATCGCCCACCACTGCTCATGCCCACCCACTGCTCATGCCCACACCACTGCTCATGCACACCCACTGCTCATGCCCACCCACTGCTCATGCACACCCACTGCTCATGCACACCCACTGCTCATGCACACCACTGCTCATGCCCACCCACTGCTCATGCCACCCACTGCTCATGCCCACCCACTGCTCATGCCCACCCACTGCTCATGCCCACCCACTGCTCATGCCCACCCACTGCTCATGCCCACCCACTTGCTCATGCCCACCCACTGCTCATGCCCACCCACTGCTCATGCACACCCACTGCTCATGCCCACCCACTGCTCATGCCCACCCACTGCTCATGCCCACCCACTGCTCATGCCCACCCACTGCTCATGCACACCCACTGCTCATGCACACCCACTGCTCATGCACACCCACTGCTCATGCACACCCACTGCTCATGCCCACCCACTGCTCATGCCCACCCACTGCTCATGCCCACCCACTGCTCATGCCCACCCACTGCTCATGCCCACCCACTGCTCATGCCCACCCACTGCTCATGCCCCCCCACTGCTCATGCCCACCCACTGCTCATGCCCACCCACTGCTCATGCCCACCCACTGCTCATGCCCACCCACTGCTCATGCCACCCACTGCTCATGCCCACCCACTGCTCATGCCCACCCACTGCTCATGCCCACCCACTGCTCATGCACACCCACTGCTCATGCACACCCACTGCTCATGCACACCCACTGCTCATGCACACCCACTGCTCATGCCCACCCACTGCTCATGCCACCCACTGCTCATGCCCACCCACTGCTCATGCCCACCCACTGCTCATGCCCACCCACTGCTCATGCCCACCCACTGCTCATGCCACCCACTGCTCATGCCCACCCACTGCTCATGCCCACCCACTGCTCATGCCACCCACTGCTCATGCACACCCACTGCTCATGCACACCCACTGCTCATGCACACCCACTGCTCATGCCACCCACTGCTCATGCACACCCACTGCTCATGCCACCCACTGCTCATGCCCACCCACTGCTCATGCCCCCACTGCTCATGCCCACCCACTGCTCATGCCCACCCACTGCTCATGCACACCACTGCTCATGCCACCCACTGCTCATGCACACCCACTGCTCATGCACACCCACTGCTCATGCACACCCACTGCTCATGCCCACCCACTGCTCATGCCCACCCACTGCTCATGCCCACCCACTGCTCATGCCCACCCACTGCTCATGCCCACCCACTGCTCATGCCCACCCACTGCTCATGCACACCCACTGCTCATGCCACCCACTGCTCATGCACACCCACTGCTCATGCCCACCCACTGCTCATGCCCACCCACTGCTCATGCCCACCCACTGCTCATGCCCACCCACTGCTCATGCACACCCACTGCTCATGCCCACCCACTGCTCATGCACACCCACTGCTCATGCACACCCACTGCTCATGCACACCCACTGCTCATGCCCACCCACTGCTCATGCCCACCCACTGCTCATGCCCACCCACTGCTCATGCCCACCCACTGCTCATGCCCACACTGCTCACACCCACTTGCTCATGCCCACCCATGCTCATGCCCACCCACTGCTCATGCCACCCACTGCTCATGCCCCCACTGCTCATGCCCACCCACTGCTCATGCCCACCCACTGCTCATGCCCACCCACTGCTCATGCCCACCCACTGCTCATGCACACCCACTGCTCATGCACACCCACTGCTCATGCACACCCACTGCTCATGCACACCCACTGCTCATGCCCACCCACTGCTCATGCCCACCCACTGCTCATGCCCACCACTGCTCATGCCCACCCACTGCTCATGCCCACCCACTGCTCATGCCCACCCACTGCTCATGCCCACCCACTGCTCATGCCCACCCACTGCTCATGCCCACCCACTGCTCATGCCCACCCACTGCTCATGCCCACCCACTGCTCATGCCCACCCACTGCTCATGCCCACCCACTGCTCATGCCCACCCACTGCTCATGCACACCCACTGCTCATGCACACCCACTGCTCATGCCACCCACTGCTCATGCACACCCACTGCTCATGCACACCCACTGCTCATGCCCACCCACTGCTCATGCCACCCACTGCTCATGCCCACCCACTGCTCATGCCCACCCACTGCTCATGCCCACCCACTGCTCATGCCCACCCACTGCTCATGCCACCCACTGCTCATGCCCACCCACTGCTCATGCCACCCACTGCTTCATGCCCACCCACTGCTCATGCACACCCACTGCTCATGCAACACCCCCACTGCTCATGCACACCCACTGCTCATGCACACCCACTGCTCATGCCCACCCACTGCTCATGCCCACCCACTGCTCATGCCCACCCACTGCTCATGCCCACCCACTGCTCATGCCCACCCACTGCTCATGCCCACCCACTGCTCATGCACACCCACTGCTCATGCCCACCCACTGCTCATGCACACCCACTGCTCATGCCCACCCACTGCTCCATTGCCCACCCACTGCTCATCTGCCGCACACCCACTGCTCATGCCCACCCACTGCTCATGCACACCCACTGCTCATGCCCACCCACTGCTCATGCACACCCACTGCTCATGCACACCCACTGCTCATGCCCACCCACTGCTCATGCCCACCCACTGCTCATGCCCACCCACTGCTCATGCCCACCCCATGCCCACCCATTCTCATGCCCACCCACTGCTCATGCCCACCCACTGCTCATGCCCACCCACTGCTCATGCCCACCCACTGCTCATGCCCCCCCACTGCTCATGCCCACCCACTGCTCATGCCCACCCACTGCTCATGCCCACCCACTGCTCATGCCCACCCACTGCTCATGCCCACCCACTCTCATGCCCACCCACTGCTCATGCCCACCCACTGCTCATGCCCACCCACTGCTCATGCCACCCCACTGCTCATGCACACCCACTGCTCATGCACACCCACTGCTCATGCCCACCCACTGCTCATGCACACCCACTGCTCATGCCCACCCACTGCTCATGCCCACCCACTGCTCATGCCCACCCCACTGCTCATGCCCACCCACTGCTCATGCCCACCCACTGCTCATGCCCACCCACTGCTCATGCCCACCCACTGCTCATGCCCACCCACTGCTCATGCCCACCCACTGCTCATGCCCACCCACTGCTCATGCCCACCCACTGCTCATGCCCACCCACTGCTCATGCCCACCCACTGCTCATGCCCACCCACTGCTCATGCACACCCACTGCTCATGCACACCCACTGCTCATGCACACCCACTGCTCATGCACACCCACTGCTCATGCACACCCACTGCTCATGCCCACCCACTGCTCATGCCCACCCACTGCTCATGCCCACCCACTGCTCATGCCCACCCACTGCTCATGCCCACCCACTGCTCATGCCCACCCACTGCTCATGCCCACCCACTGCTCATGCCCACCCACTGCTCATGCCCACCCACTGCTCATGCCCACCCACTGCTCATGCACACCCACTGCTCATGCACACCCACTGCTCATGCACACCCACTGCTCATGCACACCCACTGCTCATGCACACCCACTGCTCATGCCCACCCACTGCTCATGCCCACCCACTGCTCATGCCCACCCACTGCTCATGCCCACCCACTGCTCATGCCCACCCACTGCTCATGCCCACCCACTGCTCATGCACACCCACTGCTCATGCCCACCCACTGCTCATGCACACCCCACTGCTCATGCCCACCCACTGCTCATGCCCACCCACTGCTCATGCCCACCCACTGCTCATGCCCACCCACTGCTCATGCACACCCACTGCTCATGCCCACCCACTGCTCATGCACACCCACTGCTCATGCACACCCACTGCTCATGCACCACCCACTGCTCATGCCCACCCACTGCTCATGCCCCACCCCACTGCTCATGCCCACCCACTGCTCATGCCCACCCACTGCTCATGCCCACCCACTGCTCATGCCCACCCACTGCTCATGCCCACCCATTGCTCATGCCCACCCACTGCTCATGCCCACCCACTGCTCATGCCCACCCACTGCTCATGCCCACCCACTGCTCATGCACACCCACTGCTCATGCCCACCCACTGCTCATGCCCACCCACTGCTCATGCCCACCCACTGCTCATGCCCACCCACTGCTCATGCACACCCCACTGCTCATGCACACCCACTGCTCATTGCCCACCCACTGCTCATGCACACCCATGCACACCCACTGCTCATGCACACCCACTGCTCATGCACACCCACTGCTCATGCCCACCCACTGCTCATGCCCACCCACTGCTCATGCCCACCCACTGCTCATGCCCACCCACTGCTCATGCCCACCCACTGCTCATGCCCACCCACTGCTCATGCCCACCCACTGCTCATGCCCACCCACTGCTCATGCCCACCCCACTGCTCATGCCCACCCACTGCTCATGCACACCCCACTGCTCATGCCACACCCACTGCTCATGCACACCTACTGCTCATGCACACCCACTGCTCATGCACACCTTACTGCTCATGCACACCCACTGCTCATGCCCACCCACTGCTCATGCCCACCCACTGCTCATGCCCACCCACTGCCTCATGCCCACCCACTGCTCATGCACACCCACTGCTCATGCCCACCCACTGCTCATGCACACCCCACTGCTCATGCACACCCACTGCTCATGCACACCCACTGCTCATGCCCACCCACTGCTCATGCCCACCCACTGCTCATGCCCACCCACTGCTCATGCCCACCCACTGCTCATGCCCACCCACCCACTGCTCATGCCCACCCACTGCTCATGCCCACCCATTGCTCATGCCCACCCACTGCTCATGCCCACCCACTGCTCATGCCCACCACTGCTCATGCCCACCCACTGCTCATGCACACCCACTGCTCATGCCCACCCACTGCTCATGCCCACCCACTGCTCATGCCCACCCACTGCTCATGCCCACCCACTGCTCATGCACACCCACTGCTCATGCACACCCACTGCTCATGCACACCCACTGCTCATGCACACCCACTGCTCATGCACACCCACTGCTCATGCACACCCACTGCTCATGCCCACCCACTGCTCATGCCCACCCACTGCTCATGCCCACCCACTGCTCATGCCCACCCACTGCTCATGCCCACCCACTGCTCATGCCCACCCACTGCTCATGCCCACCCACTGCTCATGCCCACCCACTGCTCATGCCCACCCACTGCTCATGCCCACCCACTGCTCATGCACACCCACTGCTCATGCACACCCACTGCTCATGCACACCTACTGCTCATGCACACCCACTGCTCATGCACACGCCACATTTATTTGCACACCACTCTGAGCGGCCGTGGCTGCAGCAGCAGCAGGAGGTGGAAGCGGCACAGCGAGCCGTCCAGACACGCTGTGAGTGGCTCCTGCAACCACTGCCGTGCCTTGGACTGGATCCAGTCCCTGCACTCTCCCCGTTGCACGTCCACCAGCTTCATCTCCCCATGCCCATGCCATCCACCACACCACCGCACTGCACTCCTCTGAACCCCCCCACACAGCAGCGAGGGAGCGAATGGGCACAGTTCCCGGGGAGACCACTCTGAGGGGCCGCGGCTGCAGCAGGAGGTGGAAGATACGGAGGGAGTTGTCGAGGGACGCTGTCAGAAGGTCATGCATCCACGGGCTTACCTTGTTTGGAGGGCATCCAGTCACTTCACTCACCATGTTGCAAGTCAACCAGCTTCATCTCCCCCATGCCCGTGCCAACCACCACCGCACTGCACTCCCCACCACCACTGCTCCACAAAGCCGTGAGGGAGCGGATGGGCACAGTGCCGAGAGAAACGACCCTAAGAGGCCGTGGCTGCAGCAGCAGGTCGAAGACACGCAGGGAGTTGTCCAGACACGCTGTCACGATGCGCGCAGGGTGGGCGGCGCTGACGTGGCACACTGCTGTTACATGCTTGGGCGCCACCACGCCGTAGGGGCTTGGGAGCGGCTGCGAGGGCGGAACAGGGGGAACAGGGAGTGGCGGAACAAGGGGGTCGTTTTGAGCTCTTGACTCCACCCTATGGTGGATAAGGGCGTGTATCATGTGCCAGAAACACGACGCCACCCGACGTCCTAAATTGCAAATTTAGGAAACTTCTCCTCCCATTCCCACACTGTTCGGTCTGCTGCTCATGCAAATTGCAAATTGCAAATTGCACAAAATTTCCTAAAACTCATGCAAATTGCACGAAAATGATTAGAGTACTTGATACTCAGGCGAGAATACTCGCCTCGCCTCGAGACGAGCAATACCGCAGAGAAACCACCTCAATACTCGGCATTCCCAGGGCGAGCAGAAGCGAGTAAAATCTCGGCAGGAAGGGTGGAGAAAATGGAAGCAGGGGAATGGGAGGAGAGGAGGGCGACGCACATGCACTCACCAGCCTGGCCTCCCATGTGAGGGCGACGCACATGCACTCACCAGCCTGGCCTCCCATGTGAGGGCGACGCACATGCACTCACCAGCCTGGCCTCCCATGTGAGGGCGACGCACATGCACTCACCAGCCTGGCCTCCCATGTGAGGGCGACGCACATGCACTCACCAGCCTGGCCTCCCATGTGAGGGCGACGCACATGCACTCACCAGCCTGGCCTCCCATGTGAGGGCGCCTGTGCGCAGGTCCCACACCGTTAGGTCCGCTGCTTTCCTGGTGCGGGGTGGTAAGTGGAGGGGAAGGAAGGAGGGAGGAGAGGAGCGGAAGAGTGGAGGGGGAAGGAGGAGGTTTGAGAAGAGGCGCCTTTTAGACTGGTGTGCCAGTTGAGGGTACGTGTGTGCAGATCCCACACTGTTGAGAGCGCTGCTTTCCCGGTGCAAGAGAGTTGGGAGAGGGTAGGAGAGGAAGGGGGCAGGTGAAGGGGTGAGAAGAGAGGCGGACAGTGGCGTGCTAGAAGTGGCAAGGGGGGGACGAGGGGGAAGGAGAAGGCGAGGAGAGGCGCAGAGAGTAAAGACGCGCCAGGAATAGAAGCCGGACACGCCAACAACAATGGTGGCTCCTGAGGGGTCCACAGCACCGGTCAGCAGCAGACGGCCGAGAGGAGAGTAGGCAAAAGAAGGTGCAGAGAGAACACAGCACAGGGGAAAGAAATGGTGCACTCACCCGCCAACAGCGATGGTGGCTGCACTGGGGTCCACAGCGCCACACAGCAGTCGAGGCCTCTCTGGCCCTCCTGCTGTCGCGCTGGAAGCAGCAGGAGCAGCAGCAGCACCACCACCATTGGCAGCAGGAGCCGCGCCACTGCCTGAACTCCCTCCGGCCCCTGTGGTGCCATCTACGCAACTCTCAGCACCCTCCTGCTGCTTCCTCTTCTTCTTCCTGGACGGCTTATGAGGTGCAATCGCCACGAAACGCCTCACCAGCCGCTGCCCCCACTCCCCCTCCCACTCCGCACCCTCCCCTTGCTCCTTCACTCCCCCCTCCCCTCCTCCCTCGTCCTCATCCTCACTCACCTCCTCCCCTTCCTCCAACTCGTCGTCCCGTGCGCCCGCCCTCTCTCCCCTCCCCACCCCCTCACTCGCCCTGCTGTCCGGCCTACACACCACCGCCACCTCTCTCACGCACACGAGCCCGTTGTGAGATGCCGACACCAGCACCCACGCCTGCCTACTGGGTCGCTCCTGCTCCTCTGAGTCCTCTCCTTGCGCCTCCCCTGACAAACTACTCGGACCGGATGTGACAGCATCTTGGGGAGGGGTCCCATGAGCGGATGTGGCGCCATGGCTGGTGGGTTGAGGCATGAGGGCGAGGGAGCAGCATGCACCGTCCAGACTCGGATCCGCCAGGCCCCACTGCCGCTCTCCTCCTGCTCCGCCTGCCTCCCTGCCCTCCCCATCCGCCTGCTCCCCCCCCCCCTGCCCCCCCTCACCCTCCCTGCATTGACTATCACTCTGCACCGCACGCCCGTCCCCCTGCATGCACCCCTGCCACGCGGGGAAGGAGAGCAGCAGGCGCACTTGGGGGGAGGTACTAGTGGGGGGGGCGGTGGGGGCTCCGCCATCACCCCCCTCTGCTGCCGCGGGTGCAGCTGCTGCGCCTGATGCTGGCGCTTCTACCGCGGATGGAGCGACAGCGGCGGGCGTTGTTAGCAGCAACACGTCAACCTGACAGAGAGCGACGGAGGGGGGAGGGGCTCGGACAGGCGGGGGGGAAGGGGGGATAGTGGGGAGGGGGGAGGGCAAGGTTGAGGGAGGCATAGAGGGCTAGAGGATGGGGAGAAGAGAGAGAAGAAAGTACGCCCTGGGGAGATTACATGGATATGCGTCAGCAAAGGCAGAAGGCATAATGCACCCTGAAGAAACATAGAAAAAACTAGAAACAATCATTGAGAGTGGCTAGGGAGTTGGGGCCGGGGGGGGGGGAGGGGTGGGGGTGGGGGTGGAGTGGGGGAGAGAGACAGAAAGAGAAGGCACGCAGTGCTGGAAAGCAGTGCTCTCCCTTGGAGCGTTTCTACATGGTAACAGCATGGCATGGCACCCACCACCATTCCCATGCTTGCGCCTAACATTGGCATGCTCGTCTCAGACCCCCACCCTGGGTTCCATATGAAGGGACCATGCCACGCTTGTCCCACGCGCTAAGCCCGAAACCCCAACCTGAACCCCTGAATCCTGCGCCAACACCAACCACGACATGCTAGTCCTGCCACGCCAACTCATAAACCCCAACCTGAAACCCTGAATCCTGCACCGTAACCCACCATGCCATGCTTGCGCGCGACTGCCACGATCTGCCAATCAACATGGGTGGGGTGGAGGGGAGGGGAGATGGGGGAGGGTTAGGGAAAAAGGAAAAAGGAAAAAGGAAAAAGGAAAAAGGAAGGGGTTAACTGAAAGAGAGTGGGGAAGGAAGGAGTGGAAGACGACAATGAAGGGAACATGCGTGACAAGTGAAGACAAGTCACTGCATGAAAGGCGAAAATTGGAATAAACTACACTGCATTGTAAAGCTCCCTTTAGCCCAAAAACCTCCAAATTTAACCTCCCTGGTGCGCTACCCATGACGGCGAGTGCACACCACACCACGCCACACCACGCCACACACAGCAACGCACGACGAACAGCATCTCCCGAGAGGGCGCCACTTCTCCGCCTTCCCAACCCCAAAAAACTGGTGCTGTTCCGAGCCACGAGCCATGTAACACCTGCCTTAAACCTCGAACCGGACTCACCGACGACCGCTCGTCCACAGCAACGCACGCCGAGCAGCACACGGCCGCGCGGCTCTTATCCGCCTCGCCGAACCTAACCACGGACTGCGCCGAGCCTGTCCCCGAGCCAGACGCTCCGGCTTGGGGTCCTGCCGAGCCACCAGCACCTGTGCCTCTGTTCTGCCCGAGAGAAACGACTGCAGGGAGCAGGGATGGCGGGAATCAAGCGGCACGGTTGGCCAAATGCGCGAACGCTGCATGGTGACAGCGCGGCTTGCCGTCGAGGGGGAGGGTGGGTGGGGCGGTCAAGGATCCTCGGGAATTGCGAGCCGTCTCGCGACAGCTCCGCATTCACACGTGAGCGTGGGTAAGGCGAGGGATGAGAGCGTGGGTAGGGCGAGGAGTAATGGTGCGGCAGACAATTTAGGGTATCAGTTGCTGGGGAAAACGGAGCGGCAGCGCGAAGGCAGGATCCAACCCCAGGGCGGTCGGCTTCTTTGACCCGACACGCGGTCGACCGCCATTCCCGCTAAACGCCAAGCGCTTAGCGCGATGATTTCAGTCGCCGTACCTTTGAGAAGACCGAGCTCGTCGCCCGTGAGCAGTCGCACGGGCGGACATGCGACAACTTCGCCGCGATCGACCTTCGGCATGGTTGGAACGTAGCGACGGCCGTCGCAGAAAGGTATGCGACTCGATCAACAGACAGCACGTCCTGTGTTCAGGCTAAACCCTAGGTTTATGATTCCGGCACCAGCGGGTAACGCTAAAACCCTGATCGGGGGAAAGCATGTAAGGAATTGGGACCTCCTTGGCAGCAAACAGGGACTGCCAGGTACCCCCGCGCCCCCCCCCCCCCCGCCCCCTTCCGCTGGATTTGCGAAAACAAACGCTTCACGAGCCTGTGGTAACAATATTTCGTGCCAGGTTTGCACTTGCGTTAGTTTCGCGTGATTCTTTCGCAAGAGGGGTTTGTGATCCGAGCGAAACTCGTCGCGCCCAGCCTCGCATCGCAAGCAACCCCAGATCCTTTTATTTGTAGGTGAAATCCGTTATAAACACAAAGCGAGGAAAACTATCATGGAAACCAGTGCAAACCCTCTATATAGACAGTACTTCCCTTTTATGGCCCAATTTCACAACTTGTCTATTCTGATTGCGCATCTCGCTCCCTCTCTTCTGAGCCTGGAGTAGCTTTGATGTCATTCCATTGCGACCTAAATCGAAAACTGCTAGTTAGTTGATTCGTGGACGACGCGCGACACCATCGTGAGCACCCGCGCCTGCCGTTATTTCCAAGGGGAATAGACTAGATCAAGGGCGCGTGGCTATTGTCGGTTCAAAGAATAACTATCAGATGCTAAATATAAGACTTCATACGTGTAACCAGGCGTGCGAGGCGCCCGTGGGTATCGAGTCAGCTTTTTGGGAATTCTAACCGAATATCCGCGCGAGTCGAGCAACTTGACATTCTGAGCAGCAACGGAGGAGGGATTGCGTGGAAAATTTCTTGAACGAAACGGGAAGGGGCAGGGAGGGGGGGAAGGGGCGGCGCGTCATTTAGGCGCCTAAAGCCGGCAGAAGACGGGGGGAGAGCAGAAGCGGGGAGGAGCGGGCGGTTGAAGTTTCGCCAAGGCGGCATGGCGAGCGCGAAAGGCGGCGACGGGGCGGGCGAGTTGGACCTGTCGCGAGCCAATCAGGGCGTGTGGCTGATGAAGGTGCGACGCAGGGCGCGTGGCACAAGTTGCGAGGGACGAAAGCTGGCGAAAAAGCACCCTGCGGCCCCTACCTTGCCGTCATTTGTAGTAGTATCTGTCTCGTGCAGATGGAGCAAGGCAGGCGCCAAGCCAAAGTGTTTCCCCGTCTCTCTCATGCCATCTCTCACTCCTTTTCTCTCCCCCCTTCCCCCCCCGCCTTCTCCCAACCCACCGTCCGTCTCAGTTCTTTCGCGCCTCGCTACTGCCACGAGGTGCACTTGGTTGGTGGCGGAGAGCTGGAGCAACGCGGCCGAAAAGCCATCCTCCCCCTTTGTCTCCTGCCTTGCCGCTCTTTCCGTGTCCCTCCTACCTCCTCTCCCTCTGCCGGCGCCCCAGTTCGTGGCGGACAGATGGCACACGCCAGACAGGCGGCAAACAACCTTCTTCGCCCACCTCCCTTACCTTACCTCTCGTTTCTCTTCCCCCCTCCCCGTCCCCCTCCCTCTCCCCCTCCCCCCGCGCCCACACCGCCCCCGCCAAACCTTTCCACTCTCATCCTTCTCTCGCCGCCACCCCGTGCACGGGCCATCTTCTCCCCCCCGTGTACCCCCTACTCTTCCCCCCGTGTACCCCCTACTCTTCCCCCCGTGTACCCCCTACTCTTCCCCCCGTGTACCCCCTACTCTTCCCCCCGTGTACCCCCTACTCTTCCCCCCCTCCTCCCCCCTCCTTCCCCCCCTCCTCCCCACTGCAGGTGCCACAGGTCGTGGCAGGCCGATAGCACAAGTCAGGCAACGATTCATCCTCTTCCCGCACCTCTCTTCCCGCACCTCTCTTCCCGCACCTCTCCTTCTCCCCTCCCCCTGCAGTCTGCAGGTGCCCCACCTTGTAGCGGACAGATGCCACAAAGCGGAAAACAGGCCTTCCTCTTCCCCCCATCTACCCCCTGCCTCCCCTCCCGCTCGCCCTGGTGCTATTCCACTGCAGGCGCCCCCGTTCATGGCCTACAGATGGCGCCCCGGTTCATGGCCTACAGATGGCGCCCCGGTTCATGGCCTACAGATGGCGCACGGGGGGTGACGCATCACCATCCTCCCCCACCTCGTTGGCCTTGCCTTCCGTTCTTCCCCCCCTTCTCATCCTTCCCAGCCAAACCTCCCCCTTCTCATCCTCTTCTCCCCCCCTCCCCCTGCAGGTGCCCCAGTTCGTGGCGGACAGGTGGCACAAGGCGGGCGACAAGCCCGGGGGCGAGGCAGCAGCGGGGGGAGGGGCGGCGCAGGGCGCCCCCTCCACGCCCCCACCGGCAGCAGCAGCAGCGGGGGGTGGGAGTGTGGGGGTGGTGGGGCGCGTGCGCATGGCGTTTGACCCTCGTGCCCGCCCTCAGGGCGGACAGGCTGCCACACAGGTGACTATAACGAGGGCTGCCACGCAGGTGACGAGAACACGGGGTTGGGCTGGCGTGAGGTGAGCTTTACCAGGGCTGGGCTGGGCTCGGTAAGGCGGTAAGGGGTATGGCACAGCCACAGTGCAGCGGCAACAGCTGGGAATGCGGTGGCGGGGGGGTGACTTTTGCGTTGACTCAATCACCAGCCGCGTGCAGCAGCTCCAATGCTTGCGAGTGTGGGGCTGGTGGATTGTGTGGCGGTTGACCCCTGAGCCCGTCCACAGGGCGGACAGGCTGCCACGCAGGTAACTGTAGGGCGAGCGTGGGCTGGTCTGAAGTGACTAAAGCGAGGGCTGCCATGCAGGGGAATATTGGGAGCAATGCCAATGTGTGGCTTCTAAGCAGGAGGGCTTACTCAGAGGGGACTGTAGCGGGAGGCCTTCAATTCATGTCGTTATCACAAGGCTTGCTTGAGCCGCTTCTGTGAGTCAGCTCATCCATCACGTTTCCCTCCTCTCTCTTCCTTGAGTTCCACCAGCAGCAGCAGGGGGGCGCAACGCACACCAGCTTTCTGTGCCCTCAGCTCATACTGCCTCATCCACTCGTTTGCACCGTGCCACAAACACGTTGCACACAACCCCTCCCACACCGCAACACTAACAGCAGCAGGCACCCATGACACACAATGGGCAGCGGACGGTTCAGCGCACACCAGCAATCTCCACCCCCTTCCTTTGCCTACCCCTCCTCTCCTACCTCCCGCCACTCTCAGCCTTCCAGATGATACGGCTGAAGGTGCCTCGGGAGGGGGGGGCAGCAAGGCGCTATCCTCCCCATTGCACTCATCACTGCTACCTCTCTTACTTCACATTCTCTTCTCTCCTCTCCTCTCCTCTTCGCCTCGGCCCTTCCCCCAGTGAGTTGATGTGTTTCGAGGTGCTCGAGGGAGCACCAGCCGAGCTGCCAGTGGAGTACCACGTCGCATTCACGGCAGCCCCCCCTCTTCCTCTCCTCTTCTCGCTCACACCCCTCCCTGTGCCACCCCTTCCCTCCCCCTCTCCCCTTCCTCGCTGTCGCCCCCTCGGCGCAGTTCATGATGCGTCTAGAGGTGCCCGAGGGAGCAGCAGCGGAGTTACCGGTGGAGTACAACCTGGCGTTCACCCCCGACCACGTGCCCATGCACGTCTTCTCCGAGTCTGCTGGAGGTGTGCACGCACGGATGTTGCGCTGGTCTCGCCCATCAGAGCCTAGGTTAGGTCAGAGTGTCGCCTGTGCAACCTCGCGCAGTGCATTGGAGGGCGAGGTGGAGCACGAGCTCGACATGCAGCCATGCAGTGGGGGCAGCGGGTACCAACAGATGCCTTGTGTTCCTCACCCCGTGTCTCCTCTCTGCTTCTCCCTCTGCATGTCGCATCGCTTCATCGCATGTCCGCCAGGCCGCATCGCCCTGGAGGGCAAGGTGGAGCACAAGTTTGACATGCAGCCGCCCAGCGGCGACAGAGGGTACCGACAGATGCTGCAGACAAGGGAGAAGAAGTGGAACACGCCCAAGCGCACACTGCAGGTAAAATTGTGGGGTGGAGAGGGACGAGGGGAGGGGGGGTGGGGGGGGGGAAGGGGAGGTAGGGATAGGCGAGGGGCGGACAGCAGTAGAACTTTAGATTCGACCGTGACTACCCAACGGAACTCGTAGAACTTTAGTATCGGCGAATGCCGCTGACAGCAGTAGAACTTTAGATTTGACCATGACTATCCAACGGAACTCGTAGCTCGAAGTCTAAATGAGTGAGTGAATGCCGCTGACAGGGGAGAAGAAGTGGACCATGCCCTGGCGTAAACGCTGGGGGTGTTGGGTGGGCACACAAGGGTGGAGGGTGTGGGGGTGGCGACAGAGGGTCCCAGCAGATGCTGCAGAGGCGGGAGACGAAATGGAACACGCCCCCAGGCACATGCTGCAGGCAGGTTTTGGGGTAGAGAGGGGAGTTGGTGGGGGGGGGAGGAGGTGGAAGGGATAGAGGTGGGAAAATGAGGGCTGGCAGGAAGGGAGAGAGGTGGGAATATGAGGGCTGGCAGGAAGGGAGAGAGGTGGGAATATGAGGGCTGGCAGGAAGGGAGAGAGGTGGGAATATGAGGGCTGGCAGGAAGGGAGAGAGGTGGGAATATGAGGGCTGGCAGGAAGGGAGAGAGGTGGGAATATGAGGGCTGGCAGGAAGGGAGAGAGGTGGGAATATGAGGGCTGGCAGGAAGGGAGAGAGGTGGGAATATGAGGGCTGGCAGGAAGAGTGAAGAAAGAGGGTGCGGGCAGATGCTGCGGAGGCGGGAGACGAAATGGAGTGCTCTCAAGCGCACGCTAGGTCGGACAAGTGGGGAGGTGGGGTGCGAGAAGGGAGGGAGGAGGGGAAGAGAGCAAGGAAAAAAAATTGGGAGTGTTGTGAAAAACTAAGGGTGCTGAGAGATGCTGCAGACGAGGAGATGAAGTGTGACACACCCAAGCGCACGCTGCAGGTAGGACGAGTGAGCCGATGTGCACTGCAGGAAGGCAGGGCGTGGCCTGCAGAGGGAGAGGGCAGGGAGAGAAACAGACGGTCCAGCAATTCACTGAATCGCCTCCTCGTTGCCTCAACGACCGCATTCCTGAGGCGCCTACACCAACGCTCAATGGCCTTGCACTCTGGGACAGATCCGTAGAACCACTGGCCCTCGGAAGTTCTCCTCACCTATCTAGCAGCTCACTCCTCTCACTCCCAGCAACCCATCTCCCCGTAGTTGTCTCTGCTGCTCTCTCCTTTAAACTGGCTGCCTTCACTGCAGAGGCGGATGCACGTTGCCATGTATGCAAATGCATGTTGCCATGTATGCAAATACATGTTCCCATGTATGCAAATGCATGTTGCCATGCCTCACCTCTTCCTGCTCCCACGCCCCTCAGCTTTCTCCCTCCCTTTCTCTCCTCCCGTCCTCCCCACGCGTGCTCTTGTCGTCCCGGGCCTGCAGAAGTGGGATCCATCAGGGGCCTCGGGGCCCCGCCTGCCCATGCCTGGTGCCGTCTCCAATGTCAAGGTATGGGGGGGAACACTGCTTGCTTTCCATGGTCTTTACACGGGAGCGACTGACTGTAAGCACTTGTGAGAAGAGGCGTTGGTGTGTTTGCGTTCGTTGATAGAGCCGGAGCATAGTTGCCTCTTTCAACTCGTGGATGGTGAGGAGCGGTTCGGTAAGAGGGAGGGTTGAGGCGCTGACATGGACAATATGGAGCTTGCCCATGCCTGGTGCAGTCTCCTCGTCAAGGGGAGGCCCTTTTTTACACTGAGCGGAATGGTGAGGGGTTTGGTAAGTGGGCGGTTTAAAGCTAAGACGGACTTTACGTTTACGTGTACGTCGGTTTATGTTACGCTTACGCTTACGTTACGTTACGTTTACGATTTTCTAAAAACCAGTTTACGTTTCCGGGCAGCGTTTTATTTCTCAGGCTGCCCAAGGGTGCCCCTTGTATAGAGATGGCTTTTCACTCATTTTACCAAGCATCCAAATACGTGTGTCACACAGAAACTACCGCTTCTGGTGGACTCCTGATTGGTCAGAATTTGCAAGTGTCGGTTGCGTGCTGCGGGGGAATTGGTCGGCATGTCACTTACCGACCAAGTCAAATGTGTCGCAGGTGCGACGACACGATGATGTTGAGAAGGGTTGGTGACTCAACAGTTAGACATAAAAAAATAAGTCAACACCTTAGTAACCCTTCCCATTGCCCGCATCCATTTTCCCCAGCAACCCCCACTCTATGCTTGTCGAGCTACCATTCCCCATTCCTTTAGGAAATCTGTTTGCGTCTGCCATTCAACTGCTGGTTTCCCCCCGCCCGGTATTAGCTCAAAAGCTCGCTGTGGATTTTTTTTTTTTTTTTTTTTCACAATAATTTTTTTATCATCTGCCTTGTGTAAATTTCGCGTAAAAACGTAAACGTTACGTAAATGTAAATTTACACGTATTTTTACGTGTATGTGACTTGAAAAACGTGATTGACCATCTTAGGTTTAAAGCCCAGGTCCCAACTTGGTCAACCTGAGTTGCAGCTGGGAATTCAACTGAAATCGCCAGGGAAAAGGTCTTCAGAATGAATGCGCAATGTTGAGCTGTTCCTGCAACTTGGGACCTGCGCCTCAAAGCAACGGCAAGGACAGTGTGGAGTTTGCCCATTCCTGGAGTCGTGTCCAGTGTATGGTAATGTGGGCAAAGCCCTAGTGAGCGAAATAATGAGCTGTACGGTGAGGGGAGGACTCTGCCCAGGGTAATGCATGGTGGGATGTCTCCCGATGCCTGCTGTGGTGTCCGAAGTTGGGGGTTGGTGAGGAAGGGCAAGGTTCGGCTATAGTACGAACCAGAGTATTGCTTGGCGTGCTGTCAATTTGAAGCCACCACTGTTTCTTTCTCCCCACTGCCTTTCGTTCGTAACCTCTCTCTCCCTTTCCTGCACAAGGCGGGCTCAACACAGGCGTGGCAGCAGTCGGCAGCAGCGAGGGCGTCGGAGAAGGGCAGCAAGCCAGTGCACAAGAAGCAAGATGTGGTGGAGGCAAAGCTGTTTGCGCTCAGTCTCTTCCTACTCCCTCTCCCTTCCTTCACTCCATACACCTCTCGTCAGTGCAAGGCGGGAGCCACACACCAGCGTGGCAGCAGGCGGCAGCAGCGCGGGCAGCAGACAAGGACAGCAAGCGCGTGCGCATGTCGTGAGATGTGGTGGAATGGGATGGGGTGGGATGAAGCACTTTGCGCTCAGTCCCTTCCTCCTTGCTCTCCCTGCCTTCCCTCCCTCCACCTCTCGTCAGCGCAAGGCGGCCACCACACCGGCGTGGCAGCAGGCGGCGGCAGCGCGGGCGGCGGACAAGGACAGCAAGCGAGTGCGCATGTCGCGAGACCTGGTGGAGGCGAAGCTCTTTGCGCTCTTTGAGGAGAGGCCTCACTGGACGCTCAAGCACCTCACGGATGCCACACAGCAACCGCAGGTGAGGGGATGGGGGAGCAGGTTGGAGCAGGCTGAAACAGGTTAGTACAGTTTGGTGCAAGTGCAAAAGTAGTGCAATGTGGTGGGCGCAAAGCTCTTTTCTTCTTTCAGGCGCGGAGCAGCCGCACTGGACGCTGAAGCACCTCGCAGATGACGATCAGCAGCCACAGCTGAGGTGAGGGGATGGGGGGAGCAGGTTGGGGGACGGGTGTGCTGGTGGTTGGTGGAGGAGGCGAAGCTGTTTGCACTCTTTGAGGTGCGCCCGCACTGGACTCTGAAATGCCTGACAGACTCCACACAGCAGCGTCAAGAGGGTGCTGCGACTCATGGCGTCTCATGGCGCCTGTGAATGCCTTTTGAGGAGCGTCCCCTCTGGGCGCTCAAGCCCCTTACAGACTGCACGGTGCAATCAGGCGCAGGCAAAGCCCGTGGCGCTCTCAAGCACCTCACTGATTCCACGCAGCAGCCGCAGGGGGGGGGAGAGGGAGCAGCAGGCCTGAGAGGGGGTGTCCATGCATGCATGCCCTCACCAATCGCTGCGGTGCTGAGGAGAGGTCCGGTTGGATGCTGAATAACCTCACAGACTCATGTGAGCGGACGAGGGGTGCTGCATGCGTCATGTGCGTTTTTGTCATTCTTACATGTGTGCACAGCACATCCACTCTCCTTCCTTCCCAGTCCCACAGTGCTATTTCTCATGGCGGTGTTGGGTGACTTGCGTGTATATATGTTGACTCAGCCCATGCCCTTATTCTCACACACCTGCACTCACGTGACCCTCCTTCCCCCCCTGCCCTGGGCAGCACTTCCCCAACAAGGTGTTGGGCGACATATGCACATACAGATACACATTCACGTTTTGGTTGACACACTCATACACATGTTTTTTTCTCCATCCGTTTCACACAGCGATTTCTCAAAAAGGTGTTGGGCGACAAGTTCATGTGCGTGTGCATGGCAATGCAGAGCTGTCTGTCTAGTCTTTCTTACTCGAGTGTATCCTCTGTGTTCACTCCCCTGTGCAGCAATTTCTCAAGGAGGTGCTGGGCGACATGTGCGTGTACAACAAGAGAGGACCCAACCAGGGCCTGTACGAGCTCAAGCCCGAGTACAAGCACTCAACTCAGCCACCCTCGTAGCTGACTTTTTACTGAGGCGCCTTGAAGAAATCAAGTTAAATTTTCCCATCTAGGGCCTGTACGAGCTCGAGCCAGAATACAAGCACTCCAACCAGCCACCCTCGTAATTCCCCAATCAGTGCTTGTTTTCACAAGAAATTGTAATGCATACAAGCACTTGTTTTGTCCGCAACAAATTGTACTGCGGGATCGAAACGGAACAAAACAATATGAGCCGAACTCCCATTGGCGCAAAACGAAAACAAAACCAGTGACGCGCGAGAATAGCATGCCAAACAAAAAGTGGGGCTACCCAAGTCGCAGCTGGGCATCGCCAAACCCTGACGATCGAAATGCGACAGGGTGTGCGAGCGGGAAGCAAAAACAAGGGGTCCCTCTCGTTTTTCAAGAGGGGCCCCCCTCTGCTATCACTGCAACAGAAAAATTACTATGCAAACGGACTGCTAGGTGGAAGATTACCTTATTATTCAAGATGGGATTGAGGTGTCGCTGCAGGCCCCCAAATTGGTTTTGGGTCTGTCTGATTCGTCAGAGTCCACTGCCTTCCCTTGGTATGGGTGTCAGAGTTGCCTCCTTGAAAAAGTCTGAAAAATCAGAGTAGCCTTCAATTTTTTGTCTGACCAATCAGAGTCATAGCCAAACTTTTGTATGAGCCTTTTTTATGGTTCTTCATTAGAGAATGCACTACAATTCACTACATGCACAGAATCAGTCAATATCCTGCATATCTTGCTGCAGTGCTATCGGCATATCATTATCATAATCTACTTTCTCCTTTCCCTTCCTGCTGCTACAAGACTCGGGGAGGGCGTTGCTAAGGGGCTTCCTCTTCTTATAAGCCCGCCAGATGGAGACCACCTCTTGCCAGTCGGGGTCATACTCTAGCTGCGACATGCACATCAGATCTCCTAGCCTAGTATCCTTGAGAGCCCCCCGCAGCCAACTCTTGATGACGTTCTGGCGGGAGAACCCGCGCTCGCACTCGACAGTGCTCAACGGAAGGACAGCCACCGCCACCCACAAGTTGACCAGGTTGGGGTAGCTGTCCCTCCAGTCGTTGGGCCCGCCGGTGAAGTCGTCTCCGCAGTCCACGTAGCGGCTCTCTAGCAGCGAGGTCGTGCGGATGATCTGCGCGTGCACCGTTGTATAGTCCAGCTGGTGGGTAGGGGGGCGAGGAAAGCTAGGGCATCACAGAGGGATGTGTGGTTAAGGGACGAGCGGCAGAGACCAGCAATATCGACATGCATGAAAAGTTGCAAACACAAGCATTAAACATATTTACCTCCCGCTGCTGAAAGACCTTGTTGAGCACGTTCAGCAGCTCGAGCACGTCGGCGAGGAACATCAGGAGGAGCCAGAAGCAGTAACTGGTGACGAGCGCGTACAGCTTGGCGTCGTACTCCTGCAGCATGACCACGATGGCTGGTAGGACCTCGACCAGGCGGATGACAGCATCTCCGCGCGACAGCCAGCGGATGTTGTGGATGCCCTGGAGCTCGAGGTTCGTCGACATGAACACCTCCTAGAGCTCCAAGAATCGTTGATGCCAAGGGTTGGAGCGACCGAGCAGCTTAGCGATCTCGCGAATGATGTTGTCAACCATGCTGAAGACAGGGATCTCCTCAGCAGCAGCCTTTGCCGCCAGCGCCTCTCTGCGTGGGATAAGGGGATGAGATGCAATGTAGGAAGCAAATTAGCGATTGGAATTATAAACAAAACAAGCAAATAAACATGACATGCACACAGCAAATGGTTGACGAACCGATGGGCAATGCAATGGCAAGAGACAAGGTGCGGAACGCGAAGACGAAGGCGGGCCACAAGTCCAGAGCGCGCTCCCATCATGACGGCAGCGCCGTCAGTGCTAATGCCAGAGATGCGGCCGAGGTCGACGCCAATCGCCTGCAGATGGGACAACAAGAGGGCGAGTAGCGATGCCGCATCCGCCTTCTCCACCGTCAACAGAGCCAGGTACTCGGTTACAAGCCGCCCTTCCCGGATGAATGTGGCAAACACGATCATGTGCTTGCCACGGCAGCAATCGGTGCTTTCGTCGAGGCTCAGGCCAATGTAGGGACTCGCCAGCAGGTGTTGGAGTTGAGTCGTGTGTAGCCACGTGGCCGTCGCTTGTGTCAGTTCGCCGAAGCCATACCTGTTACATGACACGCACAGTGCAAGTTGTTGTAAGTTTCATATCTAAAGACGAAACATAGCGAAGTTCATAGTCACTGGAGTTCTCACCAGTTATAGTACGTGCCGTAGGCAGACTTCGGGAAGCCCTTGAAACTGCACGATGAGAGGTATCGCACCAAACGAATCCAAGTTTCCATGGGTTCGTTACACTCGGCGCAGAAGTAGAGGGAGTCGAGCAGCGCGATGACTCGCTCCTTCTCTTCGTCGGCCGCGCGGGGATGCAGGTCGATCCGCTGCTGGTTAGACGCCTGTTGCAGGAGATCGTCCTGCTTGGACATGGCGAGGCGATGCTTCTGCGTTCCGGCGTGCTTCTTGAACGACTGTGTCTGCACGTCCTTTGCTCCCTTGCCCGATTTGCCGGTACGCCCTGCAGGTCCTGCATGCACTGCGCATACACTACACTTGAAGGCCGGGAGCCCATCATCAGTTTTCAAAAGCATGAGCCAAGGGAATCTGTCAGACCAGCGAGATTTGAAATGCTCTTGGGCCTCAGCATAGATGTCCTCGTTCGTTCTAGTAGTGGACCTACCGCCAGACGATTCTGGCAAGTCCGCATGTACAAAGGGGCTCGGCACAGGCTTAGGCAGATCCTGGCATGTCGACGTTGAGGCGTACGGCAGAATCACTTGCCTGTACCGGAACCTCTTCGCTGCCGTCACCGACGGCGTGGTGCCGGCGACAGGAGCTGAAGCAGTGGGCAGGGGGCTTGCATCCGCAGACTTCTTGCCCGCTGCATCGGGAACAGGTGCATCGCCATCAGCAGGGGCAGCGTCACCAGGCTTCCTCTGAGGGCTACGATCTGAAGCATCCGACTGCCGCAGGAACTTTAGTGCGGCCGGACCATCGCGGAAATTCTCGGCACACCAGTACTCTTCGTCTTGTTCGTCATAATCTGCCTCGTCTACGTCCTCATCGAGGTCGACCTGCTCCATGGCCTGCAGGGGCGCGGTGGGAAAACAAACGCACTGAAAGAAAACCGAGGGGCTACACGAAGCTTGGCTGAAGTTTTGCTGGAGGGGGGAGAAGCAAGGGTCGTTTTCCCTGTCAGTAAAGAACTGATGGAGAAGGAGGGGGTCTGCCAGCTGCAACTCCATCGCAGCGCGCGAGATGCTGTCCATGCATGAATGAACCAGGCACTCGTCGCGTCAGCATGGGTGCGGTGCCTCGTCTGCTGTGCCTCACCCAGCAAAATGCCTCAGGATTGGCGAAAACAACCGTGTTTTGGTCAAGGACCAATCGGCTGCTCGGGCTATCTCTGTGCTGGCTCCATCGCACAAAATTTGCCCGCCCGACGGCTCGGGCCGCGCCAGCGCAAATGTAATTCTGGCGTGATTGACGGTGACGACAGAGGTACCAACGCAAATCTCGCAACCCCCCCTAAAATAACGGTGTTACAGGAATCAGAGTCCCCCCCCCATACAAGGATGAAGCATCAGAGTACACTTGTCAAAGAAGTCTGAAAAATCAGAGTAGGTACATAAAACTTCTCTGAAAAATCAGAGTAACATAGAAAAAAAGGTCTTTGGAATCAGAGTACACCCCCAACAAAACTCTGAAAAAAGTCTGAATCAGAGTAAAAAGTCTGCAATTTGGGGGTCTGTGTCGCTGCCTATTCAACCTGTCCCCATGCTGACTTTGACAAAGTTATTATTCTCTCCATGTTGTAACCGTATCCCATACATTTCTTGGCATTCTAACTTACCTTAGCTTGGCTTGTCTTTAGGCTATGTATTTGATGCTTTGTTTTGAATGTGACTTGGCTAATTTCTTTGCTAATCGTCTTGTATTCACTTGTCGCAGCAGTGCAACCACGCCCTGGTTGCACATCGGCCTCGTTCTGCGGGCAGGTGATTCCATCAAGGGAATCTTCTGCCAGCAGGTAGGAAATCGCTGAAATTAGGTTCGGGTGGCTGGGCAGCCGAAAAATACTGTTAAACCTAGTGATTCCATGCCGAACCTGGTGGAATCAGAGAGCCTGCAGATCGCGGGCGAAATCAACCTTGCCGAACTTACCTGACTACCTTCCCCGCCTGGCAAATCAGACACCCCACACGCTTTCGTCAGCAAGCCACCAAATATATGTTTTTCACATGGGCGCGACTTGGAATCATGCACAAATAGGTGCCCTGAAACTACTCGTCTTTTCAGGAACCACGCCGTGAAACGCTCGCAATGTTTGTGCTTGGGCAGACAAAACAAACCAGTGCGCGCTTCAATCCAAAGTGTGCGTGACCAAGCCTCGTCGGAGCCCGCGCCTTCGACTTTCGGTGGGCGAAATTGTGCAAGCACGTCTGGCAGCCGGACCTTGCTACCTACTTCCCCAAAATCTCGACGCCACCTTCCCCCGTTTCCGACACTGCCAGACTTCCGTCTACCTGCAGAGCCGGGCCGTGGACCTGCAAGGACTACACCCTAAACCTAGTTAACGTTACTCGTTTTGGGCAGGGTGGTTGGCATTTGTATTTAGCGAAATGTGATGTTACGTGACTCCGAAGGGGGTCGCCCGCTGTCGGTTTTTCCCGAACCCAAATTGGCTTTCGGGGAGTACTTGGGAAGCCAAGCGGTCAAATGCTTTGGAGAGGGTAGGCATTATTTAATAGATACGTCCACCACATTAGACCCAGCAAAAGTGTTAGGCTGGTAGCCAAGTTTCCATCCTTTCGCTTAGTACTGAAAGTCGCCTGTTTGGAAATTCTAGGGCATTACGAAATCGACAGAAACTACCCTTTTCGTACATTGATGTCTCGAATAGAAGTCGCATTGGGTACACGCTACTCACAAATGGCTTCGGAGCAATGTGATCACAGTCCTAACAGTCGATCTGGGCAGCGACGGTTAGGGCGGTTATGATGTTTCGTGCTGTGACATTAACGAGGTTAAGGGTGTAGCAGCAACCAGCTAGGCGTGCACAAATCAAGCGCAAGCAACGCCTTCGTCCCTGTACACATGTTCTACGATTCAAACACTTGAATTTTTTGCACGGTCCGGGCACGTATCCTCCGGCCAAAACGCTGGACAAAATGTGCTTGTACACTTTTCGGGCGGCAACACCTGCAATTTTGCAACTAATTAGGGCTCGAGTAGCGCGTCTGTTCTGCCAAATTGTCGGGTAACCTGCCCCATCGCTAGGGCTGCAAGAATCTCGTGCCTGAAACAGATCCTGTTTCGTAACTGATGAGCTGTCGCCCATCGGTAGTCAAACTCTCTCGTTTGAGATGACGTGTCTTAGGATTAACCCACGGGTTTTTAGTTGTTAGGTTACTCGTACTAGGACTCTGTGCACTGTATTCACGGTTAGCGCACCCAGAGGAGGGTTTTGTCTTGTCCTGAGCTCTAAGGGGCAGTTTAGCGTCCATTCTAGTTATTGCGTTTCGGATTGGAGCACTTGGCACAATTTCATTGGGTGTTACGTGTACAAATCAGGCTG